TATTTGAATATTTGGGATTTTGACCTCATTAAACTTTGAATAGGGTACACTAGAAATGGACGCACTACAAATTGTTAAGATTGTCTGCCATAATGTGAAAATAAGACAAAAACCCCATAAAATGGGGTTAAGCATTTTTCTCAGAATTCCTAGAGCCATTGAAATTAGTGGTGACATGAATAATTCATTGATGAATGAATAAAATGAATAAAGTGGTAAAATAAAAATAAAAAAGATTCCCAGTTACTTTGCACTATACCTGCCAAATAAATGGAGCTGATCTCATGAAATGTGTGCTTGAACACACAACCTCATAATTATCAGATCTATGCAAGGTCAGGAGAAGTCAAAACTTATATTAATTAGGTCAAAGTAAACTTTGGTCATGTAAGATGAGATCTCCCCAAAATGACTAAATTCCAGTGAATAGAGCCATAATTATGGTCAAAACAACAACCTCAGGTGGTCCTAGGCAAACTGTTACTTCAGGGCTCATACCACTAATTGAATTTCCATAGACGACAATGTTAACATATGACGAGATTGCTATATGAAAATATATATGAAGAAAGTTGAAAACATGGCTCAAAAATGGGAAATCAACATGCCAATAATGAACCATATGAAAAAAAACTAACATGTTGGCCAGCTCAAACTCTTGCAAATCTCAGGTAAACAAGACACACCTACTGTATTTGGATTGCACCAAGAGAAATCACTGGAAAAACACCAAGATTAGAACATCCAAATACACACAGAATAAACCCACAGGTACACAGCCACTAAGTAGTAAACAAAAGACCACATATTGGTCTCACCTTTTACCCAGGTGATTACGCCCTCAGCGAGCACCTGAGAAAAAAAATATTTAAAAAATGTCTTTGGTGTGTGATGAATTTGTTTGCGAGTATCTGTTGTCCGACTTATTTAGCTGATTACTAGTGAAAGGCTGTGTTATGTCTGTCATCGTTTAGGCTCATGCGAGGTCCTGGACGGAACTCGACTCAGTGTTTTGGAACTAATTACGATATACCGTCGCTATCCGGACTACTAGTTCTGACAGTTGGTATTCGCAGTTAGTAATATAGTGAACGATTAATCAAAAGATATGACGTGTCCAGTACTCAGTATGATTGGCTGTATGTGTGAAGGCCACGCCTTAGAGTCTTTAAACTGCTTTGTAATTGGTTAAGGTTTTGAAAGTGAATAAAAGAGTTTTCAGTTGGTCTTGGCGAGAACACCACGACAGACGCAGTCTTCATTTTGG